CAACTAAAGGAAGCACAAATCTAAGGAAAAAAGTCACAACACCAATAACTGCGCCTCTCTCACAAAAAACAAGTCAGGACAGAAACTTTCAAATGTAACTGGTACACCATTGTCTGCTTCACACACGACTTTCCCATCGCAAGAACAAAAGGGAAGCGTTTATCACCCTTCAACTAAAGTGTAAATTATAATACATTATCTAGTTACGAAACACTGTAAACGTTACAGCAAAACCGTATGTGTTATCCAGGCATACGTCTTGCACTGAACTAGATTACAGTCTATAGGATGTGCCGGTTAAACTTTTCGTGTACGTAATTTCCAGGTGTGAGTTCTTACGGGTGTATGCAAAAAAAACAGGTTTCGCTGCATGTACCAACCATCCGCGCATGGCGGTTAAACAATTCCAGTATACGGGCTTATGCCACTTCTTCGCCCGAATCTTCAGGAAGAACCAAAAAACTGGCATATCCTGAATCGAAGAATTCAACGTCCTCTTTTTCTTCGATTAACGAGTCATTCTGTATTTCTATGTTGTCTTCGATAGATTCGTTCGAAAAGGAGCTGTCAGGTGGTTCTTCTTCGCTCTCCTCCTCCTCTTCACTTTGTGCAGCCAGCCTCTTCCTCAGTGGATTCACTTAACGGTTCGTGTTCCACTTGCCCGATGCCACCGCCATCAACTACAACTTTTGCAAATCCTAGCGGCATCTCGTTGTCGTCTGGGTCTTTAAAAATCTTTTCGTTACCAATTCCTGCAAGCATCATCAAACGCTAAACAAAAAGATACGATGTTCTGGTCGGCTTAAGCTCGCAACAGACCAACCACCGCTTGCTGTATGGCTCCACTACAGCTGACTCCGCACTGAGCATACGGTCTTTAACAGGATCAGTGTCAACATTCAAGTTGAATTGATGATGAAGTCGAACTATTTTTAAAACGTCTTGAACGGTTGGATATTTAGACTAGAATATGACACATTACGTACTGGTGGCAAACATCTAGGCCCAAACGTGGCAGCCCTGCACTCCACAATACTCATTGTGGTCGGGGACCCAAACAACCGCTAATGATGAATACCCAACGACGGTTCCAATAGGTGCCTCGATAGCATTTCGCAGGTACCACTCATTCTTGTTGTACCAAGCTTCTGCTTTTCATTGTGTTTGCCAAACACAATGGGTTCATCCCGGTGAATAACATGCGCTTCCAAAAGATCGCCACTAGCAATGCCTACAATGAATTCCTGCGTCGGATATTCAAGTGTTTTGCACCAACCACACGTAAGGTGCGCGATGGTTCCGAATCGATGAGTCTAGTAGTAGCCAACTGTCTCCGATTCTGCGATCAGCATCCGCTCCTTTACACTTTGGTACTCGTCGGGAAGGTCGTCGGCCGTGTCGAAGCTGGAGAAGGCCAAACAACAGCAAAACCAGACACGATCGTACATCGACACTTACAGTTAAGTGAATGCGGTAACAGAAAAGCTCAACGACAGCTGGGTACCCTTAGCAAACAGCAGTGCACAGATGTGGCAGCCAGAGGTTCCGCAAAAAACGTGATTAGCTGGCAGTCCCAATTCGGCCAGTGGTAAAGGAACAACTTCGTTTGCAGAAGTAGAAACACAGCACTCAATATACTGGCTAAATCCACTTTTTTTTTGCTGACAACGTCGACAGTATCATAATGTTGCTCAGCGGAATTGAATACGGTATTGGCCAATATGGCCAGAATAATTTATAATAAAATAATATAGCAACTGCAATCCACAACAAAATCAGTCGTCACTACCGATTTTCACCGTGCTTCCTTCACATCGTATCTTACGCTATTACATACTGCGTACGCCATAATCTGGTCTGTCACCTCCATCGTAGATAATATTATTATCCATCATGCACTTGTCAAATTAGCAGTAAAACAAGAAAACACTAAGAATCTACAATTTATTCCCTAAGAAAACGGCTCGTCACCACCGATTTTTTAATCAATCGCCAAAAACCAAGAAACCGCAACGACAAAGCAAACGTAACATAATCAAACCTGTAGTCACCACCAGAAACATCAAACACACATTCTCGCCAGACCACACAGTAAACGCTATATCAAAAATCCACATCCCTCCAAAAACCGGTCGTCACCACTTTTCCTCCTTCCAATGCAAACGACTTAGCAACACCACAGACACAACAAAATAAGTGCAGCTCGGAGACCGGTCGTCACGACTAAAAACATCATACACAGAATTTAGCATGACGGCCTACAACAGATGTCGACAAATCCCGGTTCCACCGAAACCGGTCGTCACGACCAATTCAAAAGGTCATCGGGGGTCACCGGTGGATGAATGGTGTGTCACGTTTTTTCCTAACTTGGAGAGGAGGATCCCAGTTACAAAAAAATGGCATCTCTCACCCCTTGTGTAGCCCCACACCAGATCGCGCCGCAACCGGTTCGCCATAGTACGAAATTCAATAAGTACAAACAGTTTATATTTAGATCAGTGCGGCCACAGCGAGCGGGAAGGCGTTGCATTGGCGCCTGGTGCAGTGGTTCAATGAGAACCTGTGCAATCAGGTCAACAACTCTGTCAACCGACGACCAGCAGCCACTAACAGTCGGACGCTGTTCAGCCAGTTCAGCGATTACGTTATATATACGGTACGTTTATATATACAGTACGTTGGCGAGGTACTGGTACTGTAGCCGCCAGATGCAGTGGCTCCACAGAATTGGTGCTTGGTGGGCACTGTGAAGATCTTACTATGAGTAGAATGGGATACTGACGAACCTGTGGCATGTCGGGCGAGCACTTCTCCGCAACACTGTCGTACAGCTCCACAATATACTGTACATGACCGTCCAGGACGTCGATGCCGACCACCTCCCCGTCGCGGACGATACCGGGGTCGGTCTCCAGCATCAGCGCATACAGTTGTCCGGCTGACGCCCCCTGACAATCCCCGGGCAGCGCTCCACGCCACTGGAGATAGCGTCCCGGTCCAATCCGCCGCGGAAGCGTCACCATGCGCTCACCCGGGCGCTCCGCCCGCCCGACCATCGTCCACCAGTCGCGGGGCACGCGCCAGCGCAGGCGGTGCAGGGGGACCAGGTCCGTCCAGGTGGCACCACCGTCAGCCTGCCCCTGGACAACGGCCACCGCGTGGACGAAACGACGGCGCGATGGTGCAGTGGACGGCGGGTGCAGCATCTCCGCCGGCCACCAGCGCCACGGCCCGCCGGACGGTTCATGGCGCAGCACCTCCACGGGAACGTTCGTCGTCCAGGACGCCGTTGCCAGGGTGAGAGAGAAGAGCATGAGGTCAGTGCGCTCGGTCCGGAAGACGCTGTGGCAGTGGAAGGGGATGAATTCGCGCCGCGCACCACTGCACAGCAGGTCAATGTACAGTCCGTTGTCCGCCACGTCCATCACGCGCCCGTACAGCAGGACGCCGTCGTCGCCCAGGACGTTTATCTGGCTGGTACGTCGTGCGAACATACCTGACGATGGAGATGAGGGTTACAGTCTGCGATAGCAAAAACTTAGTAACTGCGACAATTTCCGTGCAGCAGCAATCGCAACACTGCGGTTCCGGTCCGTTTCGCCCACGGGACATTTCGCCCACCAGACAGCAATTTTATCTACCAGTTCGCTCGACATTGCTTACACGAGCAGAGAAAATCTAAGATACCTTAGATAACCTAAGAAGCCTAAGAATAACATAAGAAACCTAAGAAAACTGAGAAGAAAGTTGAAGTTCAAGAAACATAAGAAAACCTCGGTAAGCGAAATGGGAAGACCCGAAGACACCAACACCACAGCACCGTGCACGTTATTCCAACAGTGCCAACTGCCAATACAACGATTTCCTTTACGAATCTCCATACCTGTTTACGATACTTCGATACTAATCCGCAGGATGCAAAGAAATCTACTAGACGGCAGCCTGAAGCTTTTGAAAGGGATGCAGGAAGACTAATGTGGTAGGAACTGGCCTGTGAATGGTAACTTGGATAAAGAAATTAAAGAAGAAGCCCCATGAAAAATGGGAGAAGTTGGTTTTTCTCGGCTGACACCTTGCTTTGCTCAGTGCGTACAGCGTAATCAGCAACAGGCAAATCACTGCTGCCAATCGGTTTTCATTGGCGGCTTGGCACTAGTAGGCTGTACCTGCACCGACTGCGCCGTCGACAGATTTGTGGTCAAACGTAAACCATGCGTTCAGTTCTGCCGGCACACTTTAAGGAAATTTTCAAAACTGATTTCCAGAGCACTTTTCTCTCAAAAAGGTATAACGGTGTTAACTAAGAAATTTTTTACATGAAATAGTAATAGTTACCGATACTAAAATTATTTATATCTTCAACCGTTATTCCATTGTACAGAAGCATTGTAAAATCAAAATTTAATTTGATCAGTTGCTCTACATAAAATATCTCATGTAATAATTCAAATGATAACTTTTATAAAAAACGGCTCCTAATTTGCAGACCATCTGGCGCTGACGCTACGCACTTTCCGCCGCGATGTACAGTACTGCTGCATGCACTCTGTCACGTCCTGCAGGGCAGTATGTATTGACATGCTATACGGAAGTTGCACTACAACTTCCATAATAGAAAAACCAATCCAACCCAGTCGATACTTCGTAGCGGAAATAATCGCAACCGCGCGGATTTTATCAACCGCAATTATTGCCAAGAAAACAGGAAATCTTGTATCGCTAAAATAACGACTATGTAAACGTTACAGTACAGCAGCAACAACAGGAAATAATAATGTATCATAATACCGTTAACGACCATAATAATTACTGCGGCGCCACTGCACATACAAGCGTAACAGGAAACATTCTGGCATCGAACAGGAGAGTATAAAAGGCGAGCCAAGTCCTGCAGTGAACTAAAAATCAGAATTTTAATATACGAAACTGCTGTTGTAGAGATATTTGAAGGGTGTTAGCAGACCTTGCTACCAATGCCGAATTTTACGCCGACGAGAATGGAGCTCCAGGCTGATGCTAACATGAGCCAGTTCGCCACCCAATTCGCCAACGTCAACCTGCATCGCAACGCATCGCTGCCGTTGGAAACCTTCCGCAATGCCAGTACCAACAATGCACAGATGGGACTCATTGCGCTGCCTATCGTCAGCCTGCTGATTAACAGCGCGGTCGTCGGCCTCTTGCTGAAGGGACACGACAGGCGTTCGCCCTTCGACATCTACATCATCGCGCTGCTCCTCACCGACACGCTGTACCCCCTGCTGAATTATCCACAGAAACTGGTGGTGTTAACCCGGGATTACCAGATTGGACACCCGGCTTGCACCTTTTATCTGTACTTCATTTACGCCTTTCCGGCGCTCATCGTACACATGCACTTGTTAATTCTCATTAACCGGGCGTGGGCCGTCTTTTTCCCGGTGTCCTATCGACTGCACCATACACATCGCCTCGCCTATGCGTCATGCGTGATGACAACGGTATATATCCACGCCGCTATATTACCGGCGATTATTCTGGACGGACTGTACTATCGTCTGCCCCACGGCTGCATTCTCAATGTCGCACAGCAGACGACATGGAACCTGCTAACCCAGATCATCGTCTATCGTATCCCCAAGTACACCGTGCCGCTATCCTATCCGATTCTGCTGTGGAGAATCATGCGGACGAGGCGGCGATTAATCCGAGCTGTTTCTGTACGGGCGCCGCCGTTTCTGTACGGAGCGTGATCGTGCCGGACGAACGCGGCCGCTGTGCATCTACAGTTTATTTACACTGTCGGCGCTACTGTGCTGGATGCCCGCGTCGGTGTACTACGAGCTGTTGAAGTATGGCGTCGGCCCAACGAAATTCCTCCGTGAAATCATCAGTGCGCTGTTCGACGCGCAGGTCTTTCTCGATCCATTGTTCGTCGTGGTTAGTCTGACCGAAACCACCAGCTTTCTCAGACAGCGCTGCCATTGCCTGCGCAGCGGTGTAGGAAATAAGAAGACGGGACTGGCTGTTATAACGGCGAATGCTGGCCAAAAATGCGGATCAGCTGCGCAGCGGCATGCGCAATCGGGGAGCAGTAGCGATAAAAGTAATGGGCTTTCACCCGCAATTAAAGAAACCGGCGACTCTATCCCAGAACCATTTGCAATTAACATAAAAGAATCCTCTTAGAAACGGGCTTTTGCTGCTTTCTGCGTTCGCCACGTTGCTGCTGTAAAGCATCTGTATAAGGAACTAACGAGTGTTGTTCTGATAGTTCTAACACTGATATTCTCATGTCTGACAACGGCATCGTTTCTTACAGTGGTTTGTTGACAGTCGTTTCTTTGCTAATACTAAATAGAACCGGTTATTTTATTCTTCAACTGATCGCTTAAGAAGATTTCTAGCGCAAGCTGGGTAATGCAACATCAAAAGTGATGCCTTTAAGCGTGGAGATCCACGCTTAACGGCTTTTGCAGCATAATGCAGGAATAGAAACGCCGATGCCTCGTTTTTCCGCACAGTGAGCAATCGAGCGCTACTTTTTCCGAATTTGGTGTTGTCAATTTAAAAACACTGGATGGACGTTCCTGTTGCACAGTTTTCCCAAGTTTATATGGAGCTTTTTAACGGTGGAGCTGCTACGTAGCCATATTCCATTTTTTCAGTAAAGCATATCTGTAGCATATGTTTTATGTAACGTAACGATAAAGCATGGTGCAGATATTTTTTATTCAGCGGTATATATTTTTCTTATACGATTTTCAGGGTGTGTTTTTCCGACACTATACGCATCGCGCAGCTCTGTAATTGATTACAGATTGATAGCCAACGACAATGCACATTATTTAAGTAAATTGTATTATTGCGAACCATGCGGTTATAATAATTATGGTATATTGCGTGTTCGCTGGGGCGTAGTAATTGATAAATGGAGCCATTTAGCGACAGTGCAGCGTGTCTTCAAGGCAAATTAAGAAATTAAAGCGCAACTGACGCACCCACAGGGCATCCACCATCCATGAGCATTAACTGCAATTGCAACTGCCATGAATAACAAGATCGTGCAATAATCACTCCCGAGAAGCCAGTTTAAAAGCTGAAAAGGTACTCGTTCACTCTCGTGTCAATAAATGTTCCGAGGACAGACACTGCACTTCTGCGTTGTATCTCAATACTGATTCTCTGGCGCCAAAACTTCCGCCGACCGTGGGTTACCAACTCCAACTCCTTAAAAAATTCTTTGTTAGCGGTCCAAGGGTTCACGTAGTTTCAAAAGCCAGAGGCTGTACAACGTAACAATCCCCTGATCATCCCATATATGATATAGCTAATGAACATCACAATTCTCGCCCGCTGCGGCGTCTTATGAGACAGTTGGCAATCATTTTGGCCTTGCATAAAGCACTTGGTGCGCGCCACAGGCGGATACATCTTTCATCTCTATCGCTCCTCAGGGAATACACCGCTTAATTCGCGCATAAAACCGCGGCACCGGAGATTTTATATTGGCGCCTTGATGTACGTGGCATGTAGATTCAGTTTTTGTCATGTGAAACAAGTTCAAACAACGCGAGAATACCGCCTCTGGTGCCTGGTACTCGAATCTATACTGTGAAAATGTACGGAATGCGAACAGCAAAATGTAAAGTATTAAAGTGAGTTCAGTATTATTGTTCAGAAATCTCCAGGTAGTCATCAAATTGTCATACAGACTGTAATGCACGTGGCACTGTCAGTCCTAAAAGTTAAGCACTGATTCAATTTAGTTCTGCGAGCGCTAGAAATGCCAGGGAACATGAAATCTAAGAAATCTTAAGAGGAACCCTAAAGAAACCTACCCAGATAATTTTCCTAGGGTTTCTTAGGTTTTTAGCGGGGTATATGTGGGACATGTAAAGTAAATGGATACTGAAGTACTACAGAGATACGATGGGATACGGCAACAATGCAAAAGAAGTAAAAAAAACTGTGAGGATAAAAACTGTGACTGTGAGGATGTAGAGGATGCGGCGAGATATGCCGGATACAAGCTAAAATTAACATGCCTCACTCTGTCGCCGACTTTATTATTAAAATAAGCTTCAGAATTGCAACCCGACCGGCCTAAGTAATAATTAATTTTTCACAACGCAGCACAACGACAGCTATATACGTACTGGAGCCTTCTGCAACTGAATGGCACTTTAATATTCAGTGGGAGACTGCGAGTGTACAGAATATATACGTAATGCATACGTAATGTACAGTATTTAATGGTGCGACGGCATTACAGCTGTCGTGTAATAGAATTCTTGTTTGACCACTGGCGAGTTCTCGACCCGCACCTCCAAGACCGGCGTGTGCGTGACGGAGGAGGGCGCTTTCGGTATGACGTGTTCCGCACTAAGTTTCTCACTGAGCGGACGCGTGACTTATGATCATAGAATCTTAAGGAAAACGACCCGGTGCATGGGGTCAAAAGTGGTACTTCTACAGTGGGAATCTCTTTTCTGAACGGTAAATCGGTGATCTGCCCCTAACTCTCTTACGCTCACAACCAATATCTGGATGATGTTGTTATCCAGATTTTTATGTGATTTCCTGTAGGTACAACTATTGCTTCCGCCACAAGAAGGTCACTCAGGATCTCAGAAACTTTAATCATAATCTGAAGACTGCACACACTGCATACAGACTCTCAGGCCAACACTATCAAATCTGCAAATCTGTCAAGATCAAGACTGCATCCAGCAGGTTATCATTAAAAACAACAAATTCCACACTCACACATTTGACAACAAGAAAAGAATCAATGCACCTATTCTCGTACAAAAACGCTGGAGGGCCAAATTGTAGGTGGCAAAATTTTTTCAGCATCGTCCGTGAATATACTTCAGTCTGGTGCTGAAACGGGATGACAATTCACAAGTTATCATAACCGTTGTAGTGCGAGTTTAACGTGCACAATGAAATGCCCAATATCTGTAGATCGTATTATGCACTCACTGCAGTACAAGGCAATTTACAATGCATGACCTTTCGGGTGATAACGGGCCCCTCAGTGCTCTTGCTACTTTGGACAGGCCACGCTTTGCTCCGTGTAAACTCATGATAAACGATGGAAAGGGAATCCTAAACGATCTATTTATATAACGACAACCGCGCTTAAGCAAAGCAAACAAAACGCATCCCCCTCCGCGCATCCGATCCCGTTAGCTGACGTGGCGATTACCAGCATAACAATGTCAACATCCTTGAAACGCCGCGTGCTCAGGCTAACACATCGATCCGACGCCATCCGTGGAATAATCTCCATTTTCTGCACATTTCTTCAACCGCACTATTGTAGTATAAAATGTAGGACATTAATGTTATTACTCCTATTTAATTAGGAAGCGCGAAGCGACGTAACGGTTCCATCTAAGCCTTATAATTATTGTCGTCTGGTCAGGGCCGCCAACGAACGAGGTTCTAGCCTGCTAAACAGCCAATGAACTTTGCAGTACGCCTACTGAAAAGCAGTTGTTCTTTTGTAACGCATAATGCGCAAACCAGCGCTTTTCTGTTCGAACCCAACGCGGACGGTTAATGCACAGTGATGTGTTCTTTTGCACACTGTTTGTTGATAATAATTCAATTTTTGAACCGCGAACCGACTGACCGGTTTCTTCGATTTTAATCCCCCATCGAAAGCATGAAGAAAACCATCCTCCCGCCGGCATGGTTCGCCGTCTTCCCGACGCCCCTCTTAATCCACATGCTGCAATGTGTCGGCATCTACACGTTCCCCTCGCGCTCCTCTCGCTTCCGCGTCTGGATCGGGACGTTCTGGGCAGTGACGGTGGCCGCGTGGTGCGCCCTCTTCTTCGTCTTCGACATCATCACGTTCTACAAGAACTATTCGCAGACCCTCCGTCAGAAAGACTTTTTCCTCTACACCTTCGTCACGTACCGCGGACTCTTCGATATCAAAGCGGCGGCGTGTATTTTACTACTGCACCACCACACGCCGAAGCTGCAGGCGGTGGTGTCCCGGCTGGCGGACGCCGGGGACCTTCGCCGGTGGGTGTGGACGCTGGTGACCTTTGCGGTCGTTGGCGCGGGGATTGTGGTCGGGGTTTTGTATTATTGTTTTAATAATATCGCCACGGTGTCTGCGGCCCTGTACGCGCCCCACTTCCGGTCGTGGGAGAGTGTGGTGGACGTCCCGTTGTTCGGGCCGGCGCCGTTTATTACGAATCTGCTGGTGTATGAGTTCGGCAACGTGGTGACGTATCTCGTGGATGTCCTCCCGCTGCTCCTGACCGCCGTCGTGGCGGTCGCCTTGACGAACGAGTTCCGCATGGTCAACCGGCGTATCCGCGGATTGCTGAGCGAGCGTGAGTATATACATGTATAAATAAGAACAAAATACAAGTTAAATACAAAATAAATGAAACATTATTTATTCACTGTAAGGAAAGGTGGCAAGTGGAATCGACAATACAGTATACAAAATATTATGTAAAGTATTTTACAAAATATTGTATAAAAGGTTATATAAAATATTTTATAAAATAGTATATAAAATGCTTTATAAAACATCATATAAAATCTTACAAAAATATTAACTGAATTCAAATTAAAGTCAAAATATGATACAGTTTGCAAGTTTATATGGAAAGTAGTAAAATAAATAAACAAGATAGGTAAAGAAATAATTAAAGAACTCCATCACTAATGTACGCATGGACCACCCGACGTGGCTTCAGGCCTCACTTCCCGTTCGCTTCGGTGGTTTGGGGATCAGGCGCACGGAGAAGCTAGCTCCCTCTGCCTATATGGCATCGGCTTCCTCTTTGCGCCCGCTGATTTCCAAGCTTTGCCCAAAGTTAACGGCTACGGATGTGACCGCCGCCACGCATGCCTGGAAACTGACGGCCGACACAGATGAACTTCCGCCCCTCCCGTTCCGCCACGTCCAGAAAGCATGGGACACGCCAGCGACGCTTCATGCCTTTTCCAGACTGGCAGCCATAAGGACCACACAGGAGGAAGTCGCCCACCTGAAAGCAGTATCAGTCCCGGAATCAGGTGTGTGGATTCATGCATTACCGGCAGCTAGTCTCGGTAATTTGCTTGAAAACAATGTCTTTCGCATAAGCGTCGTGCTGCGACTGGGAGCACCAATCGTTACTCCTCACGTGTGCGTATGTGGTGGTTTGGTGGATGACCTGGGCCGGCACGGGCTCCGGTGCAAACGGTCAGCGTGCCACGACACGACGGCATAAGCGGGGAGATTGCCCGTGGACTGAAAACGGCAGGTTTTCCTGCGAGAATGGAGCCAAAGGGTCTGTCTGTTAAGGATAAGAGAAGGCCGGATGTGATTACGCTGGTACCATGGGAGCGTGGAAAACCGCTGGCCGTGGATGTAACATGCGTCGACACACTAGCCGCATCGTATATCGGCCGTACCTCTGTAATCGTTGGAGCAGCAGCTGAACAAGCGGAAAGGGCGAAGCTGACAAAACACGCCTGGCTGCAACCTCGGTACAACCTCATGCCAGCTGCAATTGAAATTTACGGACCATGGGGATGTGGTACCAAGACGTTAGTGGATAAAGTTGGAAATGGGATGGCTACTGCAACAGGCCAGAAACGAGCGAAAGAGTTTTTTTAGGCAACGGCTATCTATTCAAATACAGAGAGGAAACGCAATATGTGTGATGGGTACAATTCCCGACCAGGATAGCATTGAGGAAGTGTTTTTGCTATGAATATTCTTTTTGTTTTGGTACTAAGTGTGTACTAGCGTGTGATACTTATTAAAGGTAATAAGTATTAAAGAACTATATGAAATGCAAAATACATTTTACAGTTTATTTAGTATAGTAATACATATAACTAGAAATCATTAATATAATTACCGTAATAATACGTGTAAATAAAGTAAAATTTAATTATTTTTTATGATAAATAAAACAGAAAATAATTTAGATATATATAATTCATTTATTTTCTAATACATAAATCAATATATGTAGGTCTGCATCACAGCGAGCGGGACGCGGAAGTCAGTGTAGCGCAGGAGCTGGACCGGGTGCAGCGCCGGCAACTGCAGCTGGCGGAGATGACCGGCCGGTGGGACGCCGGGTGTCGGGACGTCATCCTCTTAAGCTTCCTGACGGCGTTGATGGGCGGGATCTGTCTGCTGACGGAGATGGTACGCCCAGTCTCGTCGCGGGTGAACGATGGACCCCTGGACCTGGTGGTGGCGGTGCGGCCCACCATGATCGCGCTGGTGGTGCAGACCGGCGGCGTGGATGTCCTGCTGACCGTCTGCGCGATACGGCTCAACGAAGCGGTCAGTTGCAGAATGTCTGATAAAAATGTACATAAACTATGCGAAGTACAAAAAATACATGTATCAAAATTAATTATAAATAATAGAGATAAAGCAAAAAAATATATTCAGACTAAAAAAATGTCTACTATATAAAAAATAAATATGGGGGCGTGGTTGGTAGGCCTACGAATCGGCAGAGTTGGTGTCGGCGCTGGGACCGCTACTCCACGATCCGATTGCGCGGTTGAATGCGGCGGAGGCGCTGAGCCGGTTCCACTCTGACCCCGTGACCTTGACGATCGGCCGGTTCATCCCGTTGACGAGGGATGTTTTTGCGACGGTGTGCAGAGATTTGTGGTTAAATTTTAAATATTTGACAATTGTTTATAATTTTTTTAGTTTCTGGATATATCTGTTGGGTTTTTGCTAACATTTACCAACATGTTACCGGTAACCGGCAACTTAACTTGACATGTTTTTTATATTTCCTGCTTAATATTGGGCCGTATGTTTTTTTTTACATTTTTAACATTAATTTTTTTATGTATTTGGAAATGTGACAGCATACATGATGTATAATTATTTTTATTTTTAAATATACAGGTGCACGTTAATTATGAATTTTCAAATATAGAAGCATATGTTGTATTAATTTACATGATTTTGAGTTTTTTTATGATGCCGTACACATCAGTTTATTTATGACTTTAATTCACAATATGACAGTACACAATAATTTTAATTAACGATAAGTGGAGAACTTTGTAACCAAATTAGGCATTTTTATTTTGCAGATTTTCGCGTTATTGCTGTCGTATGTGATCGTTATCTACCAAATGGTGGTAAGAATAAACCGCATTCGATAACGGCCAAAGATTTCTCCAAACTTTTAACAAAGATATCTACAGACAATATGTGGATCATGTTTCAGGACGGACAGAACGACATGCGCAACATGCTGCAGAAATCGCAGGCGATGAACATGATGACGTACGTCATCCAGACCGTCCTCTGCGCGGCGGCTGTACCGCACGCCGCGCTAACGGTCAATCTGACCACGCCTGCCTGCCTTATCTGATGGATACACCGCCACCAATCCTGATTGCGGCTACGCGTGACACTGCACTTTTCCACACAAACTTAATAAATTTAAAAACAGTGTGATTACTGGAACATTCTGCTGCCGAAGATATTTTTTTAAAATTTTCCTGAGCTGTACCGTTCGTTACGTTAATTTTTTTTAAATTTCCAGAGCATTTCCACGACGCTTAATATTTGTACAGATATAAATAATATATGAAAATCTGTACAAGCTTGTACCGTAATTTCTATCGCATCAGCACAGCGACAACATAATACAAATCTACGAGTTATGCCAAAATCCACACTACGGCGCGTCACGCCACTGCACTTACGTTCGACATGCGTTCGGCACGGATGATGCATGCCAAACAACGATCTAAATTATAAACTTTCGATATAAATTATAAAATATTAGATCATCTTCGTTAGATCTACCAAAAATATTGAAAAGCGTAAAGTTGTCATTGTGGTAGACGTAGTGTAGTGGCACTCGTTCAGAGAGTAAATTTCGCGCTGAATCCGTGCTAATACCTTTACGATAGAAATTACCGGATAAATTTTTTTATAAATAAACATATTACGACATTTTGTACTCGTATATATACGAGCATCTGTACGACTGGGAATAACAGCTAAAGACGTAAATCCAGCGAACGACAGTTTCGCTATCTCATTGTTGCATGTGTTGAACAATCTTGAAAACACTTAACTCGTGACACCGGTGACTGTTGTCCCGCATGTGCAGCGTTGGAGTACGTACGTCAAGGCGGCATTTATTTGCCGGCGTCGGCAGAATCACGCCACTTTGTTTCTGATCACTCGTAGACCTGGACAACCACATACAGTAACAGTATTACGATGCACAGCTAACTGTGCATACATGTGGACAACTCTCCAAACTAGCCACATGTTGGGTGGAAGGAAAAAAATGTGTATGTCGGTGGGAAATGTGCATTCCTCGCTGCTCCATCCGACGTCAAAGCACTCGACATTCTGCTACACTCAGCACACCCGCCATCTCCAGCCGGCCAATGCCGGGCGGCAGAAAACGGCCGCTGCTATAAGAAGGGTGCCTGTCAATGTCAAGGCCGCGGCTCTGTTGTTAGTGTGCATTCTTCCGGCATTCCCTTCTGTCCACGTATACCTGTCGTCGGTTAATTATTATCCCAAATCATCATGCTGTACTTAGCCGTCTTTGGATTCTTCACGCTGGTCGCCGGCCAAGCTCCCGTCTTCGGTAAGATCTGTTTATTACAAATAAATACTCTCATTAAAAATCAAGTAACCTTTTTGAATTTTATAAAACGTTTTATGTACATATTTTGTTTTGCAATATTTTTAATTCATTGAATTTTTTTGGTAAATGTCTTATTGTAATTTTAGATATTCTTGGGTGTCTACGGCGAAATTTACTGGAAGCATCGCAATTCTGTTTTGACTGTTTTCTAAATTTTTTCAACAAATTTACTCATTATTCTTGTGTAGTAGGATTGGTGTAGGTTTTATACACACACCACATTTCTGTACCCATGTACTGATATACAGTACTTGATCATAATTATTTTTATGTACGTACTCAGTATATATGTACGTATATATGTACCATGCAAATGTTTTATATCTATACCAGTATATATGTGTACACATGATTATTATATATAACAAACTTAGATATGCAGATATACATAACTAATTTATAACTATCTGTACATAGCAATTTTATGTACGAGTTTTGTACGTTTATATAAATATGTTGATGTGTGAAACTGCAGTGGTCAAACCGAACTCGACCTGGAACATGCCGCAGTTCAACGACGCCTTCGGCAGCTTCGACACGCACTTCGGCTTCCCGGACATGCCCTACAACAACGGCTCCAAGAGCCGCTTCGTCATCACCACGCCGGAAGGCACCCGGGCCAAGCTGACCGTGGACGCCAGCGACGCCAAGAACTTCTGCATCCGTTCTTATGACTACGCCGTCATGTACAACTGCGACGACAACGCCAAGATCACCACGCCCTGCGCCGAACCCGGTGCCACCTACGCCACCCCCCTCGGCGGCAGTAAGTTATAATGATATTCCCTAAATAATTTTTTTTATAATTACGATTTGTCTTCCCCATATGATTTATATTTTCTTATAAACCACAATGTTTATATAAAATTTACATGTTATACAGTGTTATTATAACGATTGTAAAATACTGCATAGATAATTTTTATGTGATTTATTTATTCAGTGCTTATAAATTTTTTATATAAATTTCTATATGTATAATAATATTGTTTTTTCTGATTTATTAGTATTCATTTTTTATACACAGTAATTGCATGCATTTACCGGTTGTTTTTGTCTGTTGCAGAGGATTCCGGCAACTACATGTGTACGTAGTGATTGTAGTTGTAAGTAAACGGTTTGCGGGTGGCATTGCAGGAGTATGTACTGTTTACAGCGGTGACCTCCGGTGCGAACGCGGTGCGCGAGTTCACAGCGAAGAACAACCGCGTGTGCATGGACTGGTGCGTCAGCTACTTCTACTCCCCCCCTTCGTCCCCCCCGGATGCCAGCGGGCCCTGCCGCACCGGCTTCCGCGCCTACTGGCAGACCGTCGGCACGCCCACCGTCAACCCCACCCCCGTCCAGGACTTTGCCATGCGACCGCCGGCATCATCCTTCTAAATTAACACCACTCAAGCTGTGCTGATTGTCAGCCGGCCCTCTTTATGTACGCATGTCAACGAGAGTCGCACTGGCAAACTGCATAGATAATTTCCATTAATCAAATGCAACAGCGTGTACGAGTAAAGTATCCAGGTTGACCTTTGCGGGGATACGCTCTTGTATTGCACATTGCCGAAAGAAATTTCTAAGAGAATAAAGTGTTTTACATGCGGTTCCACGTAATGTCTTGATGTCACCGAAAACAAAGTTGTACATTTAGCTGCCCAATATACTGTCTATACTGTACAGGAAATTTCATTAATAAGCAGGTATTTTTAGCAGTTAAATTAAAATTAATTACTTAATTAAAATTAAGATGATAAAATTCTTGCGTAATATACGTAATTTAAGTACTGTAATGATGCGTTATCCGAGCGCAATAGCCGACGCCGATTAAAGTCGTTTAAAAGCCGCGGAAACGGTTGCAAAGACACGCCGGATATCGGTAAAAACGACGGTGAAGTAGAGCGGATCCAGCGCCGCCTGCAGCGACCAGAGTACGGTGCCGACATGGAAAAGCCGGCTTAGATCGGCGTCGGTGAAGAGAATGGCCGTGTAGTATACCTGAAGGAAAAACCAGTCACTATTTATGAAACTATAAGAATTCTGCAGCAGAGTTATTTTCATTTCGTTATATGTTGAATAATAATCTTCGTATATTCGATTTGCTAAATCTTCCAAATTTAAAAACCTGGAAGAGGACTGATAAAATCTATTAAATACTTCAAGTATTCATTTAATGTTAAGAATTTTAATAACTTTCTCAATACAAATAATATCACAATCTAATCATAAATTTTTATACCAATAATTTATTGCATTTTTTTGTAGATTTAATTTTTTTAAATAATTATATGATATTTTTTGTTAGTAATTTATTATATTATCGAATGAATTACCTGGATGGGAATCCAGTTAACTGCCACGCTGCAGGTCAGCAGCGACAGCAATACAAACGAGTGTGTGCGTCCCCGGGGCGGGTGCGAGCGCGACCGTTGCAGCGGCGGTATCTTGACGCTGGACAGCGAGTGGGTGTCGCTGCTTTGTACCGTGATGGCCGGCACCGGGCGCACCGCGTTGCCGGCATGCTCGCGCTGCCACCGCTTATAGCAGATGAACGGGTAGGCCAGCAACATCACCGCGATGGGGATGTTGTAGTTGAGGAAGGTGGCGATCAAGAACCAGGATTTCTGCTTCCCACCGTTTAGCTCACATCTGTCGGCAAAGCACACCAACTTGCAAAATTTGTCACTTTTTTATTCAAATTATAATATTCACTTTACGTACGCATCGCTACTGTACAGCTATTACTCGTATTATCACGTCAAAGGCACCCGTACTGCGTAAGCCGTATATGTGCATAATTCCACCCGCAAAAAGAAATAAAGTGTCAAAAGATGCTACGCGCAAAAAGCCCAGCGAAAACATAGAAAATCGTAGAACGATGGCGTAAAGTGATATCCGTTTACGAGAATCATTACAAAATGCTTCAAAATATTCACCAAACTGTGAAAGTATATGGCAAGCAAAAACTTTTTTCTTTCAGCCATGTATTTTTATTCACTGTTACTTTTGCCTTTTTTGGGAGAATAACTATAATTATAACTACAGGTAATAACTATAATGCAGAGCATGCTTAAAATTGAATAATTTTTGAAATCATTTTAAAATAATCTTCATATTAAAATTTTAAATTTATTATATGGAAACTTGATAATTTTAAATTAATAACTAAGAAAATAAAAAATCGAAATACTGAGAATTACGCGTACCATAAGAAAAACAACGTACCCGTGTAATTCGATGGATAAGCGGTAAAACAGCGCATCCAACACGACGCCCGGTAGCAGGCAAATATGCACCCAGATCAACGCGCAGCCGCACAAGACGGCAGCCACCCAAGGGCGGTGGTGATGCCGATAATGAATGGGCGCAGCGACGGCCCATACCCGATTGACGGTGATGAGCATGTGCGCGTGGATGACCAGCGCCTCGCTGACGTGGTTAGCGTATAAGTACACCGTGCAGGCCGTGTAGCCCCACCGCCAACGGGCGGCGTACAGGTTGTGCAGAACGTCCAGGGGGTTCTGTAGCAGGAGGTAGACGATGTTGACGACGAGGAGATGCTGGATGTACAGCTGGAAAGCGCCGCGGAGGGAGCGGCGGAAGAGGAACACCGCCAGGACGGTTAAGTTAAAGGTCAACGCGGTGCAGAAGACGACGAGTGTGAAGGTGGGCGCCGGCGACCAGTGGGCGGTCGGCAAGGCGGCGGAAATATTACCGGAAGTGTTGTTCATTATATCGTATATGAATAATATGATGTACAACTAAAAAAGTGGAAATCGGCCAGTCGGTCGGCGGTTCAGAAATTGAATAATAAAATCAACAAACAGTGTGCAGCATGAATACATCCAATGCGTACAAAGTTACAAACCACCAGCACCAGTTTCGAACAGAGAAGAGCTTGTTTGCGCACTTTGCTGTCATATGTTTAAGATCAGTGGCTATTTAGCAGGCTAGAATCTCGTTCTTTATCGGGATAAAACAGACCGTACTGTAGAACCAAAACCTGGAAATTAGCCAAGAGGTTCGCAGTTGAAAAGTTGACAATAAAATCTGTAGACAGTTTCCAGTGCAAATCAATCGCCGGCACTATGTTTCAACAGACAAGCGCTGGTCTGCACGATATGCGTAAAAACGGAGCCTCTACTTATTTTCGGTCGAACGTTGTAAACATATGGATAAAGCGTTGTCTGCAGTGTATTGCGCGGAATATATGCGGCTTAATAAAACGTAGCGCGTAATTTTGTAGCTACCGTCTGTAGCATACTTCTGTAAGGTAATGTAATAGCATACTTCTGTACTGTAATGTACAGTAACGAAGTATGTAATGTCCCACGCGGCCAATTTGATCCCCCTTTACAGAGGCAGTTAGTCACGCGCACGGCGTCCAGGCACGCCGGTTTTTGTCTGTGTACGTGAATATTGGTAAAGGTCATGCGTATACCGACAGGCTGTTGCGGCGTCCCACGTGAGTTGCCGTGTTCGCGATCGATCGATGGGATTAACGCGGCTGATTATGGATGTTGTAAGGCGGCGAAAGAAAATACCTGAGATGACAACATTGTCATAAAGCCAATAAAACGATCGGATTATCCAGTGTCGCGCTTAGCAGATACGGATAATTGACCACGAGTACGAGCCAGCAATCGGACAGCTCGATAACTTGCATATGTAACTCGGTTCCTTATTTTTCGTTTGCGTTTATGCATCACGCGTACTTGTACCGCCCCAATCATGTATTTCATAGTAATCTGCAGATACGCACATTAGCGGAACTAACAATGCTCATTTTCACTCAGCACATTGTATTGATATAAAAACATGCTGTGATGCGACGTAACACACCGAACTCTGAAGTGTCATTAATTTAAAGGCAGTAAATTAACTCTGCAATAAGGAGATTCCACATTGATGAGACTATCGGAGAAATAAATGTAATTTTCCTGACGGACTGAACGGTTGCCTGCTTCCGGAATAGCAGACGCAGCGTGCCTCTCTGCAACCGCAATTAGCGCCTTTTTCGTCGCCGGCCAGCTCCTGTAAAAATCAATATAAATTTGTATGAAACTATGTCTAAAAGTCACGGTGCTCTTATTCAATAACTACGAGTACCACATAATTTTCGAAATGCAGTAATCTGCCACAATTTGGCATTTGAACAATAATTAAGATGTACCTCGGGGCGAGTGCGCTGCCGTATCGGCACTCAGCAGTTTACCGATTTCCGAGCCGGAATGCATGCGACCTGGGGGAAAAGCATATTTAGCATACGAATACAGATTTGATAATTCTGCAGGAGTGGACCCTTTGCAATGGTTACGCAATTTGTCGAGGAAATATCTCACCCAAGCCGACAAAATATGGCGATGATATGCGGCGGCGTTTCGGGTGCTGAAACCGGTCGTTGCTCCGAGTATTCCCATCGGCGATCACGGTAGAGTCGGGATCCACTCTATCAAAAAACCCAGGCGAGTGTAATTTTATTTTAAATATTTGGAAAATAATCAGGGTACCATAACTGCGCACTGAACTTACGCGGAACCGGTTTCGTGTTCGTCACTTGCAACAGTAGGACACAGGATCGACTGGGGCAGGCGACCGGCGCCCGTCTGGCAGCGGTGCTGCCGCATGTCGCTGTTCAATTTCCGTATAACCCGCACTCCTTCCAGCCACGTGTCCGCCGCTCCTAGACGCTGCCCGATCTGCTTCTGTGTTCTGCAAATTAGCCAGTCTCATGTACTGCATACTTCCATATTTTTATACCATTTTATATGAGTTTTTATCGGCCTATTTACAGTTTGTCGGGAGAAGGAGAAGTATCCGGTAAAATGGACAAAAATTCATAACGCGATGAAAAAACGAAATACAGCACGAAATTATCGGTCATACAAAATTAATACTATCGCTATAGTACAATTATGCACCTTGCTCCGAAAATCATGTCACTGTATCCAGACACCAATATCGGCAAAAAACAACTGGAAGTGGTTAATATGATAAATGTGATAAATTTTCCATATAAGTGGATCAACTGCAATTCTCTCATCGTACAGCGTTACGCTTGTATACGACGTAACAACTTCTTGAATTTGCCACTACGCTGGATACTATTATTGCAATTTTGAAATAAAAATAATTTGCTAAAATATCTGTATCGCCACAATTGTGCAGCTTGTCGGGCTGTAAAATATTAATCGAACGCTTCCAAAAACAAGCACAAAAAATAAATACGGAAAAACCAGAAATTTTCCAGGCTACATTTTTCAAAAGACAGCTTTTCAGCGGTTTATATGTTCCATAGGAAACACTTTGATTTCCTGATCACGACATACACATACGTCGCTTCCGTCGACGCCGCTATCCATTTCGGTGAGACGGCCCGTGACAAACACAGCATTACTCGTTTCCGGTCACGAAAGCTGGACAACAATCACAGTATTATATTTTAATCGCTGTACGTGCCGGTGGTCAGCGTGCGGAGCCCGGTAGAGCATGACGCATTCACGCGAATTAATCACGGCACACCGTGACACGTGAGCGAATACCAGTGACGCCGTTCTGAACTTTTGGTGCTGGTATACATGTATGCGCTTAGCACACTCGTTGTGGCTGCACACTCGTTGTGGCTAGATGGATAAACCTTCGGGTTTTGAAAGATAGTCTACATCGAGCGCGGTTTGGACTTGGATGGGTGACCACTCTGAGTTCAGGCTGCGAGTGCACGGCCCGCAAGGCCTGTGTGCGAAGTGCTTGGCTGAGGCAGCAATACCACCACGGAGACGGGTACGGGAGATGGAGGATCACAATACCACCCTGGCTACTCAGTAACGGCTTGGACTGAAAGGCCTGTGATGTCCGCAGCACCAATCGTGCCAAATGGAAGGAGACAGGGAGATCAGTCGAAGCAGAGGATTAGCGCCTTCCCTAGAGATGTGCTTGCTGTCTACCTGTTTAGAATTCTCTTAGTCTGGTTCTGTTGAACGTCTTGCTCTGCCCGAGCCGGTTAGCGCCATTGCGCGTTAAAATAAAGCTGGCGCTCGCGTTTGCGAGCTGCTGCATACGATCTGTCTGTTGCAGCGTTATAGCCTCCATTGTAACACTGCGTGAATGAATTACCGTACTTTGCACAGAATGTTCTGTCTGTCACCTGATTAATGCATTGCTGAACATGTAAACCGAGCCGTTTTCGAAACAACCAGCCGAATAAAGCAATTGCAAAGTACGGCTGTGTTTTTTTTATGCTGTGCAGTTGACACTTCACCGAATCAGATTAACCATCTATGACGATGATCTACACGAACGCTATCAAGCAATCAATCGTCGGCTAACTAAACACTATGAGTCATGCTCGTTTGTGTGGGCAAACCAATAAAATAATTAAATACTGTGGTGTGCAACATGTTAATAAATAGCAAATACCGGCATCTAAAGGTCATCGGTTTTTTTTGCCATAATATATGATGCGACGAAGGCGTGTTACCTGGACTGGATTACTCGTATTTTTATTAACTTGGTGCTCGCGCTAGCAACATCAATAAAGACTGGAAGACCGCAAAGGAAGATCTGGATATAAAGCAGAATTGCCAGCAGGAGAAAACGCAACAACATACCGAACGAATTGTATTAACAAGCACAGCCCCACATGCGTGGTGAAAATGCCCTTTGATTATCAGTACGGTAGGTCTCATGAGCCTCGCGATTCATCCACACCGATCATTTGTACAACGTGAACAAACGCCAGTACACCTGTCTACAACAGCAACATAACGGTTGCTTCGAGCTTTCACCGGCTGCTCGAAATGGACGTAGGCTGTTTGGATGGACCACAGGCTGTGGCGGACATCGGTTCGCATCCAGCATTCCACCGGCGCCGACCAAGGACGGTCCTCCTCCTCGGTCCTAATGCTAAAGGTCAGCATGCTGGCGCAGAAGGGATCCGGAGCTCCTGGTGCCGACACGTTGAAGGTGACGGTGCTGTTGAGCAGACCAGGGATGTCCCCAGCCAGCAGATCGGGATAAGGCGCCGCCACGATGTAGTGATCGTACTTCCAGATAAAATGAGACGCGGGCGACGCCCCACTGCAGTCGACGCGTCGCGTGCACGTCATGGAGAAGGTCCCGTTGGGCGTGGCCACGTTGCGCATGGGCGGCACGAAGACGCCCCAGGCGGTCACCTCGGGCCGCCCCAGCTGCAGTTAAAGGTGCGGAGCACGCTAAGGTCATCACCGCAGGGCAGGAGACACTCCACCGGCCCGCCGTCGTCGTGGCGGACGTCGTAAATCATGAAGGTGCTGATGTCTGGGAGGGTTGCGTGTGCGTAGGCGTGACCGTTGGGGGAATACGTCGTCACAACCCTGCCCAGCGGGACAGCGTGGGTGGTGGTGTTCTGGTGGCGCCAGACGATCCGTTTGGGAGTGGCGACATGGCAGTGCATGGATGCCGTGTCTCCTACCTCGGCGAGGACTGTATCGGGCGATGGCTGTACCGCCTGTACCGGCGACGTCGGGGCAGTGGTCGGGGCGTCCTCTAGGTCGGACAGGTCGATGATGCGGTCGACTGCGGCCGTCTCCACCGCCAGCAATGCACGCGAACGCTGCACTGCAATGCCAACGTACCTAATTAGAGGGGTGCCGGGCCAAGTTGGAACAGTTGCGTAAAACAAATTCGAATAAATTCCCATACTGCAGTTTGTTTCTATGTTTGTACTCTTATAAGATAACTTTTTATTGTGAATCCAATAGTGTTAAAGTTGATGTCGTTCGACATGGCAGTAAGGAGCCACGGGGCGATTAAAGGGGTGTGGTGGGGGCTTTTTTCGGCCTCTTATAACTGCAGCCCTAAGAAATGCACCAATTGATGCTTTTGCGTTTAAGTTTTCCAGAACTATTGCGTGGTCCAAAGGGGTATCTTGTATAGGTTAGCTGAAATTTCTGGGCGCGATCAGTGCTCGAGGTCAACTCGAAGGAAGGCGCATGTTCCATAGACTTGTATGTTAAAGAGAGCACTACAGAGAAATGCGGTTGCCTAGAGCGCGGATCGCTCTAGGCAACCGCATTTCTCTGCAATGCGCGAAGTGGGCCGGTATATGGTACCAAATTCGTGTACTGTACATGCACGAAATCTTTCAGTTTCGCGCACTTCCAAGCATATTTCTGTTTTATTTTATGACATCCTGTAGCCAGATGATTTGTATACACGGGCGTGAATACCGTTTGTGCGCGCAACATCCGGTTCGGGAGTTATGGCTGTTAGAAATTCCAAAAGTTTAAATGCATTTTGGTGTACCAAAAGTCTCATTATGGGCCGATCTCCTTCAAATTTTGGCACATAAACGCACACGGTCATGAAGATCGTTTTTACACCGATCCAGACTTTCATAATTTTTTTCAAATTTTAAAATTTGAAAATTTTGAAATTCATTGTAAAATTCGAAAAACATGCTAGAACAGTGGATCGGTATAAAAACGATCTTCATGGCCAGGTGCATTTACATGCAAAATTTGGAAGAGATCGATCGGTCCATAATGAGACTTATGGTACACCGGAATACATTTAAAGTTTAAACTTATTGGAATTTTCTAACAGTCATAACTTCCGAACCGGATGTTGCGCACACAAACGGTTTTCACGCCAGTGTAGACAAATCATCTGGCTACAGAATGGCATAAAACGAAACAAAAATGGGTTTGGGAGTGCGCGAAAGTAAACTTTTCGTGCATGTACACGAATTTAGTACCATGTACCGACTCACTTCCATTAAGCAAAATGCTAGTGTTTAGACGAAGTGAAGGAAGGAACCGTTAGAAAACCACGCTCTTAGGTGGTAGTTCCTAACCTACTCAGATTTTAAAATTATTCTCGAAGGAGCTTGATTGTTTCGCAGTCAGCAGCGCGATTTTTGCATTAAAAATGGAATTAAACATTTAACTCCCGTCCCCTGTGCTTTAGCTTTTTGCATCGAAATAAAAAATTTGAAAGATGTTACAGACCAAGAGCTATTATGCAACACCTAAATAAAAATTTTAGACTTCACGGGTAAAAGTAGAGGAATTTTTATGACTGTCCCAACTTGGCCCGGCAGGGCTGTGTGTATCCCACCTTCACGACCCAGTATCCTTAACAGACAAAAATGCTTTCCTTTGCAGCAGTCTTAGCATCGATGATCGATAGACATGCCATTACCAGAGCTTACCAGACTTCGGACCGTCGGAAGGACAGCCGTTGACGGCGTATCCCGATACACTGACCAGCAGGAGCCGTAAGAGAATGTTAAACGGCATTCTGATGACCGAAAAAAAGATCCTGTTAAAGCCTAAGAAAACACAGGAAAATGCAAGAAACACTAAGAAACCTAAAGCGCAATAAGTGACTAAGAAGAAAACTTGCAAAAAGCGTAAGAAAGCTAACACAAACCCTACACAAGTCAAGTAGGCTAAAAACATAAGCAATCCAAGAAATCCAAGAGAACCTAAGAGCCTAGAAACCTTTAAGATACCAAAGATATCCAGGTAAAAAACTCAGTAATCTAAGAAATCTCGATACCAGACCGATCACTGATCAGCAAGCGTTCGGTTAAGGAAATGGTTTCTGCAGCGAAAGTTGACAAGCAAATGGTCGGTCAGCAATCTGTGTGTATTGCAAGCTATGTTTTCCAGCAATAGATCGGGCAAATTGTCGGGAAATAAGAGGGATGACTCAGGGAATTAACGTAGCATTTTTCGAATGTTCCATTGTCCGGCAGCTGAAGCCATATACCGGTAACCGGTCACTCTACCGCTGGCTGTTGAATATTTCGGCTGACGGCAACCCGCTGAGAATCGGACAGCGGTAGTGGGCAAGCACTTGGAATGGCGCCACACAGCTGACAATTAGCTGCACGATTGGCATCTCTTCATTCGGTTGATGGGCAGCGGCCAGCGGATGATTTGACGGTAACAGCCGCATGCAGAATATTCTGGCTGTCCAAATTTACGAGCACTTTACTGTACAATACATTGATCCCGCCAGTCCCATCGCAAGCATGGTAAGATAGGCCTGTCTCCTGAATA